CCCCAAAACCCCAAAACCCCAAAACCCCGAAGCAACCTCCAAAAGTTGAATTCTGTCTACGAATCAGGACAATTTAATTGTAAAATTCCAGGTGTAACATGTAATGCTCTATTAACCATAAAATCAAGCTAAGCTTAAGTATAAGCTTCTATTGCCAAATAAACAAGGAATGTAGGTAAAGTAAATCAATTACTGACATTTATCTTTCTTTGAGGTCATTATGCTTGTACGTAATCAGGAACTCTGGGTAAGCTTGGCAGTTCTCAAAAGCCACAAACATTCTATCAGTGTTATTAGGAATAACTCTACCTTGGTCTCTCTGGTCTTGAAATACCTTTTACTGATTTCTCCAAGATGAATCTAAACAAGTTCATTAAATATAAGAAATAAATAATCTGGCCGATTTTATGAGCCATGTATTTGGCAGATTTATGTAATGGTCCATAATATTTCGAAAACTTATTAAACATGAGATAATAGATGGAAAAAGAAGGATGGTAATAAACTTATATTAAAAGTGTTCGGTTAAAAATGGCTTAACAATGATAGTAGATTTCAGTCAATAGAACTATTCATTTTAGTGAAAGAATATTATTTGTTGTGCAATTTTAAAGTCTCTCAGACAATACTTGATTACAAAAAAGACATTACCTATCATCCATAATGGTGTCAAATCTCTGGTTCTCATCTATCTTTTTCATTCTAAAGTATCAGGAATTTCTCATACTGTATCTTTGCATAGCTTAGAATATTCTTCATCTTCAAAGTCCAATCCTTTCCTGCATTAAAGAGTTAACAGTAATTATTAAATATTAAGTATTTACCATGTTTTTCAAATATTTTATCCTTCTTGTTCTTCCAGTCAATCTATTTAACCTTAATATACAGAACTCCAAAAGAAGTCAGAAAATTGGTTCATGTGAATTCAAAATTGAGCTTTGCAGGTTAAAATTATCAAAATCAAGCATTTTAAAGTATATTAATGCCAACTTTATTTGATCAGCATTTTAATTTTACAGCAATCTTAATATAACACTAATTTAGATGATGTCTAAGTGCATATTTCGTAAAGTATAACTTTAAAGAAACTTTTGCAGGCTTATTATTAACAAAAGTTGTCTTAAAAACAACATTCTTTATCTTCTTGAAGCATTTTGCAAATTTTATGTGGAAAGTAAGAAATTCAGTAAAATAGAGTTGAGTAAAAGATCATTCAATACAATTTCAAACCGAAATTAAGTATTTGTTGGCTAAATATCTTTAGAAGAACCAAATATCGAAATATTACCTCTTCATCGAAAAATTCTAGCTTTAATTGGTTAATACTTCTTCCCTTGTTTTCTTTTAGGTTTTCTATGGTTATTGAATTATCTTACTATATTGTCTAAATGCTTTCTTTCTTTTGCTTATAACCTTATTAACAACATTATTAAATTCTTCAATCTTCATTGTTCTGCATAAATCTGGCTCACAGGCACTAAGTCCAAATTCATAATTTCCTGTAAAGACTCTTCATACTAAATAAATTAGGAAGAAGCTCACGTAATACTTGTCTTGTTCTTTTATCTCCATACTCATGAGTGTATTCACCATCACAATAATCAGAAGATATAGCAAAGTAGGTTCCTCTTCCATAGTATTTCTTCATTTCCTCTATTACGAATAAAATTTTAATCAACAAACAAATTATATAAATAAAACACAGTTTCAAAGCTCGCATGCTGGCTAACGATAACAAATGGGCTATGATATAATTCTACACAGAAAATCAGCCGTGAAAATATACGCATGCTTCATAACTAGAATATAAACTTAATACTGCATGAAAAGATGCAGCTATCAGAATGTTTAGCAGCTAAACCGTTCGGATAAGCTAGTGCTGTTCAAGATGGTGATGGGTTACAAAAATTATGGTATTATAACCTTACCTTTGCTTTTATTTTCTTCTTTACTGATTGGCTATAAAGATCACTGACCAAGAGCTTACTCTTCCATATTTTCTATCAATACCTTCATCAGATTGTATGATATCCTACAGTATTAGATGCTCTTTTTGAATAAAAATAGAGAAAGAAAGTATTTAAGAGCGCATTGCTTACTGTTGGTGTAACTTGCCCTGTCCCATGCCTATATGTTATGAGAAATTAATACCATAGCATATTCTCTTTGTGATGGTCATCTATAACTTATGCATAAATTTTACAAGCAGTTTGTGATCTCTCCTCAGTGCAGCTTTGATACACAGCATAAAGATATTTATTCCTGATATGATGAATACTTGAGATATTATAAGTTTTTGTTGTTTCATTTCTAAATTCTTCTTTTATTCTCGTCATTAGATTCTAAATCAGTATGTTACTAAGAAATTTAATTTTTAAGAAGTAAATTAATTAATTAGGTACCTTAGAGTCTTTGAGATGTCTTTCTTCTGTTAAATAGGGGTGCTCATCCATAGCAAATACTCTTTCTCTCAATACTTTCTGATGATCACTATATGTCTGCCAGGTATCTGGGAACCTGATTTCAAGCCAAGGGAATACTTTGTACTCAATTTCGTTCATAATAACAAAAAACTCTTTGATATTAGGTTCTCTACCATTGACTTTTAATTGGTAGATATTGTGATCTTCCACTTAAATTATTAGCAAACACGCTTACAGAAATTTGGAGCAGCCTGAATCATCGAGTTGATGTAGTATCTAGGGAAAACAATGTCTTCTGTGATAAAATTCATGTCATTTTTGAATTCTATAAAAGAGTTAGATTGCTTGATCAAATTTCAGGAAAAAATGCTTTATTTATACATCAATTATCATTCTCAAAGGATGATTAAAAGCTATTCAAACTATTCAAATAAGTTTGATTGAGTAAGATCATGTCTTAATTCAACATTAATGGCTATAAATTACTTACCGTGCTTATCCCATTGTTTATTTCTGTCTTTCTCTCTCAAGAAGATTATATCTAAATTTAAGGAATTAAAAATTGGCATAATATTTTGATTTAAAAGTATTAATCATTTTAAAACTAACAGCATATTATTTGGAGAGAAATTCTTTTGAAATTAAATTTATGCATTTCTATTTTATACTTTGCAAACAATATTAAAAAGGTTTAAGAATGACAATACATTTGATTAACTGATCTCCCAGATCCACAAATCTCTCTTCTTCTAAGCTTTGCTCTTTGAAAATGACTGAGATCCTTATGCTCAATCTTCTCTTCAGTACTTCTCAAGTAAGTATGATGCTGTCTCCATTTGTACTCCTTTTCTCGGTCAAAGTACTTATTTTCCATTCAGAATTTATATAAGTCCACAGGAATATATTGTCGTTTGAGTTTATTTTTGGCATTCTAGATTGATTAATTAATACTTAATATTATTATCTTAGAAAAAGAATCTGAAAACGCTGTATCTTGGTTATTAACACTAATTTACAAACATAAACTTTGGTGTTTTATACTAAATTATTCTCTGATAATATTTTTGTTGTTATTTTTAAGAAAATTCACTCCGTGTCTTTTCTAATATGTATTTTAAACTAAACTTTTATGCTCTGTTGAGAACTAAATGAATTTTCTAAAATATGCTTTAATCAGAAATACCAAAACTAGTTTTAATATTCAAGAAAGCATGGTATATGAGGTAAATGAAGCAAATAGTGCTTTCTTTCGGTCCTGAAATGTTGATTACTATTAATAATTTATTTCAAATCCTTCTTTGCTACTTCAATATCCTTATTCATTCCAAAAATTTTGCATGAAAATCTGCTATCTCTGAGGGAAATATCTTTTAATTTAACTCCATTTCTCAATTCAATTTCAATCTGAATCTTTTGTTTTCACTCTTCAACAACTCTACACTTTATATCTCTCATGTTGACGTCTACTTTGTTATGAATTAATTACCATCTTCTGCTCTGAACTGGTCATAAGAAAACTCTTCGCCTTCTTCTTTCTCAGAGTGGTCATTTAGTAAACTATCCATAAAACAAAGAATATTACATTCTGACGGAAGCTAAAGCTTTCTGAATTTTAACTTCTCTCTTTGAAGCATTCGCAGGGGTGTTGATGAACTCTTCTTCTGGGCTTAAGGCTATCACAATAGCATCGTTTTTCCTATTCAGGCGTTATTCCGTAAAGTTAATAATAGCTTGCTCAGAAGTTCTAATTGTTAATAAGATAACTAAACAACTCATCTTCTAGTTTATGTAATCTGTTGATAAAATTTCACAATGATATATTTTCTAAAATGTCTACATTCTCAGATGAGAGATAAAACTAGTTTAGCAATCAAGAAATTACTTTGAAGTGTCATATCAAATATCAATTGTGTGTTCAAATTCCTAAAATTTAAATAAGAAGGTTACCTCTTTGATGCTCTCCCTCATCATCTCGAATTTACAATCTCCTAAATCCTTGTGTAAAGCTTATTCGCATTTAAATGATGTGAGCCATACCAATTTCATATTCTAGAGGGTTAAAAAGAGTTTACTCCAATTGTCATCTTTCCAATTGAAAATCTTCTTTTCCATCTTTTTGTAGTTCCTTTGTGGAAAGGTTTTGTACCTGACCTTTGAGCAGACATCTCATTGTGCTCTCTTCAAAGGAACAGGAAGGGAATATCTTTTGATCAGCTAATAAATTTTAGGAATAGAAAACCAAAATTTAAATTTGTTTAATATTAAAAATTCAAGTAGCATGAAGCATGAGTACTTCAAAGCTATATTTATAATTCTACTATTGTTCTTTTAATCTTCAACTTGTCAACAATTCAAGTTATAGAATTACGACCTACTTCAAGTTTGCTTATTCACTCAGCCCTAAAGGATGAAATCAAAGCTCTACATAAAAATCTTGAAATCTTGGACACTCTGTTGAAGTCCTCTTAGTTGGATTGATTCTTGGCAAACAGTGTAAACACAATTTGGCATCAGATAGTGGAGAATCCTAAAAATATTAATATTCTCTGTCATGAATTGTCAGAGTGTTTATTTCTCACAATTGTATCACCTTAGTCGAAGAGTTTTAAATTGTAATTATAACATCAAAAAGTCGGTTAAAGTACGATTTTTATAGATTAAGGAATGAAATCAGTACTGTTGATTTAGAAGATCAGAGTCCTTTTGATGCCTGTATTTTTAAGTATCATAATAATTCAAAAAATTAGCTAGTTTTTGATATTTATAGTTTACTTTGTTAAAAATAAATTCTCCAATAAAAGTAGAAGTGTTTAATTAATCTGGAAATGTTTAATGGATAAATAATTTAGGTATATCAGGAGTATCGAATATTCAAAGAAATATGCAATAATTTAAAAATCTTCATTCTAAAAGTAATCAAGATTTATGTTTAACTCTAAAAAATCTAGTAGTTTCTATATTAGAGTCTTCTATAACTTACTTTTTCTTAATATCTTTGTCTTTTGATTTATCGCGTTTATCTATTTTAGACATTTCTGATTGAATTGCCAATTGTAATCTTATATTTCCGTAATAAATAATATTTTCAATAGATCTTTCTTGCTTATTCCAGAAATCAGTAATGAAATGAACAAATCCAGGGTACAAAGTCATTCATAAATACTCTAAAGGTAAACAAGGCCTTACCTGTTTTCACAAGAGTTCTAAATTTTACCAACATATTCTTAAACATGCAAAAATGGTTAGACTCTAGTGATACTTTATAATGAAATTGTTTCGTCTTGTCAAAAGGTCATCCTATAATTCATAAAATATACATCTTGATTTCCAGAGAAACAATGTCGACTTACTCGCATAGTTGACATTTTCTTTTAAGTTTAAAATGTTTTCTATACAGATTAAATCTCAAATTACGGTTGCAATATTGGTCTTTGTAAGTTCCAGTCAGAATAAAGTCCAAAATTTTGAGTTTGAACTTGTCTAATGTTTCGTAATCCCCCTCACACTTTGAATCTATAATAACCAATTATCAAATGGGATAGCCAATTTTTATCACCTTACGAAAAATGACCAACCTCTTTGAGAGAGGTGCTCAGAGGTGAGAGAAAGAGAATGAAGATTAAAAATGATCCCTAATTTAGGCTCTCAAGAATGATGAAGTAAGCATCCCACCAGTCCCAAGATTCAAAGAACTCAACGTCAAAACGATTTGAGATTTTGTCAAAGAAGTGGAGAAGATAGCTCATTACTTCCCTAGTCTTAAAGAAGATCAGCTGTCAGATAGATCATATTTATGAGGAGTTCTAGGGACTCTCAAGAAATAGGAATGAGCTTATCAGCTCTAGATCAAGCTAGGAAAAATAGGGGAAAGGAGGAAGCTGAGGATAAAAATGAGATGATTGAAATAAAGAATGAATACCTTGAACAAATCATGAAGGAACCAGCTTAGCTAAAAGTAAGATACTAATAAGAACTCTATCTGATACTGTAGGTAAGGGTAGAGCAGCCTATTTATTGAGAAAAAAAACAAGCCAATTATCAACAAGAAAGAAAACCAATTATCATAAAAACAATTCAAGGAATATCCAGCAAAATTCAAGATCTACTGTTCAGAGCAACTCTCTAAGCAACCGATGAAATCACAATATGAGGGAGACAGCTACACCACCTTTGAAAATAAGGAAGAGAGAAAGGAGAGCTGTGAAGAAGTGACTGTGGAACTGGATGCTAAAGGTTATTCCAAGTTCACAGTATTAGCAAAGGGTTTCAGATGAAATACTCCTAAGAAAGGTAATGATGAGTTAGATTTTGATTCTTATCTCAAATTGTGTCCCATATATTGGGTTTGGGAAAGTCTTTATTGTTTCTGATTTTGGATTGTTGTCTTCATACCTCCTCCTCAACTAGTTTATAAGGCAAGCATATAATAAATTTAAATCATCTCTCCGAGATTGAGGGCAGACTCAAAGAGGTCTTCCTCGGCTCATCCTACCAAAATATGAAAGGAGAATATAGAGTAAAATGTATCCCTAGTTATAGAAAGAAAAGCCATGTCGCTAATTCTAGCAATATTTGCTCTGATTCCTTTGTTCTGACTGCTCAAGGGGATTCTTGAAAATGAGAGATCAAACGAGCAAGCTAGAAATCGGTGCAAGAAGGTCGAGAAGATGGTCGTTATTGGTAAGCTGTCAATCTCCAAAATATATGTATATTTTCCAAAATTAATTTTGAGATAAAAACTTAGGAGTTTAAAATTTGAGAAATTTAGCAATTAGTGATGATTAAAAATTATGCCTAAAATTTATCTTTGTAATATTTTTAAGATGTTTAAAGATTTACCTGTAAGAATTTTGAACAAAAAGTCAAACGAAGAGCATTTCTCTTCAGTTCACTAAACATTATTGCTTAATTTTACTTCGGATTCATCATTCTGATTTAGATCCCAGCCTATATAGATCATAAATGCACAAACTACCTTTGCTTTTGGTAATTAAGTCTTTGCAGTATTTTACAAATTTTCCACAAAACTCTGGATAAGCATCTCTATCTAAATTATGCAAAGTGTATTTTGTAAAGAGTCTGATCTGGTTGCATAGCAAGACATGGTCTTCCCCATCCATAATAATAGTTCTCCTACAAAAATATAAATTTGTGCTTACTCTGCCTTTCGAGGGTCGAAGGAAGATAAAATTGATTTAACTCTCAGGAAATCTTCATTTTTATAATAATAAACTATCACATCAGATTCATCGTATTCGAGATGGACATCTCAGACTCCTTGGAAAACATTTCCTCCTATTTTAGATAAATCTAGTAAATGTTGGGTCTTACCTTGTTCATTACTGAAATTTTTTAGGGGATTCTAAATCAGCATTAAACCTGAAACAACATCCATTTACCATATTTGACTCAAAGTTAGGGTCTAAAGGAGAGGTTAGACGATCTATTTGCAAGGAATTAAGTGAATTAGATAAAATTGTACAAAATTGCTTTTGAAGTTGTTAAATCATTTAAAATAAAACTCAAATATTCTAAAGATACAAGCTTTAATATTTAACGTCGAGAACAATCCTATTAAAACTAAGAATCAAAGTGTATAAATGTGTATGCCTCCAAAGAAACTCAAAAATGTGTATAGTTCTGTAAAATTTATCATTATGCAATTGAAATTCATTCAAACATAATCTAAACTGATCAAAAGTAGAAAATCCTTTATAGTCAGGCCCTGAAACTTGTTTCTCTACAGAAAGTTTCCTCAAATAACTGAGAGTTTTGATCGGAAAGATTATTCGATGCTAAGGGATAATCGTACTTAAAATGAACTGAAATATTAATACTTATGGGTTATGAGAGAGAATGGTCTAACCCTGATATTCGGTGTGTGGAACTGTTTAAAATAAAATTCCATTGAAAACTAAAAATCAGCAACTAAATTCAAATGTTGTGCTTGTAGAGATAATAAAAATTCTGCATGGAAGCAATTAAACTCACACTCAAGGCTTTGAACTAACATAATTTTGGTCTTTTTACTTCAAACAGCTATCTTTGCTCAGATTGATTCAGAATTAGAGATATGCATAAAAAACGGTTGGAGTAGTATTCTTCTCACAATAAAACTTTTCAGCCTTTAATCTCAAACTAAAATTGTGTGCTTCTTAAAATAAAGAGAAATGGGAGACTGGAAACAAAATAATGATCTATTCTTGTGATTCTACTGGCTAGAAACATGTGGAGTCACTTTCAAACTTGCAAAATGTAAATTTAGTTCCATAAAATTGGCAAATGTGAATTTCTGTTTACTTCACATATGATCTCTGCAAATGGCGATTTAAAAATACAAAACTTTGCACAGTTGTAAGAGTGAAAACGTGTCTTTACCTTGAAATTCTATCCTTCCCTTTTTAATCATTTTCACCAAGAACCTATAAAGTTGGATTAGCATGCAAGTAATATCAATAGGTTTATATCTAAATTGTCCTCGAATGCTTGGTTAACCTGTATCTTAAAGGCTTAAATTATTCAGCATTTATAGGATATTGGAAGAAGTGTCTTTAATGGATCTTCCTTTAGTTTCATTGTACTCAAAAAAGAATTCTTCAAAGATATTATATAGTTCTATCAAAGAATTAGCATAGACTTTATAGTAATTTTGATATACAAGCGTGTTTATTATAGCTACAAAACTTCAGAGCATTCTCACTATTTTAAGCTAGATACTTCTCTCATTCTTTACTATAATTCCAAAACTTCTAGAAAGAAAGATAAAAATACTTAAATAATTTCTACTGCAAAACAATAGCAGAGAGCTTGCATTTAACCCAATGTTGTTAATTAAGAGAATGCCGATGCCTCTCAGGTGTTTCCTAAATGCTCATAGCTCTGATATAGAAATAAAGGTTGTTCACTTATTCAAATTTATACAGATGAGCCGAGCATTTGAATCCAAAGAGAAAAAGTATTCGGAAACATTGAGGGTAGAAGAAGTAAGGACAAAGCAACGATAAATCAATATTGCATTACCATATGACAATTTCTACAACTATTGCGTTAACCACAGGTAAATATAAGCATTTATTCGTTAAACTAAGACCTGGGCTTAAGGTTTTGTGTAAAGAGAAGAGATTTAACTTCAAAGTCTTCTAAATTGAAGTAAAGGCCACATTTGTAATGGATATTTTCCGAGATGCCAAGAAATAAGCTCTTCAGTTGTGAAAGATGTTCAAACTAAAGACACTACATAAGATAGTGTAGATGTAAATACATGATTATGATAAAGAATAATTTAGAGTAGCTAAAATGGGTGAAGGAAATCCATTAAAAAGAAAGTTAAATAGACTAAAGTTCATTAAATCTCAATAATAAGGAGTAGAAGACTTACTCTAGCTCTTTAGGCATCGATATATCTCTTTTGGCGAGTCCTTTCCTCTTTATTTTGATCGAAGTTATTCTTTTCAGTACTTTGTCAGGATCTGTTTCATGACTACAGAGATTATTTAATTAATTACTCTTTTATTGAAGATTTATTTTCTTCTCATAAATTCCTAAGAAAATCTTTGTTCGAGATACACTGTTTTGAAATAGAGGTCAAAAATCTTTGTAGAAACTCTACTCCTCCTTTCTGTGTAAATTGCTTATACTTTTTACCGAGATTGAAATACCCCATCTCTTCTTTTGGACCATCTATCAAGTTGTCTGTCATATCTATTTACACATCAAACATTGCCGATAACACTCAGCCAAACTTGAACTAATCCAAATAAATTTGTGCAAGCCCTGCTATCTCGAGCCTTTAAAGTTCTAACTACATGGCATAACAAGTAGCCTAAAGCTCTCATGAGTATTGCCTGTCTTGCCTTCACTGTTGTAAACCTGAGCTAAGGAGGGTTCTTAATGAAAATCTTAAATCCCCCTTTTTAAAGGATATTGGTTTTCTCCCAACAAAACACAAATGATATTTGAAAAAGACATGGATGCTCGAAAACAGTTTTTTGGTGGTGGTGGTAGAGCAATTGAGTGAGTAAAACAGCAGGCCAGACCAACTAAAGTAACAAAAATAAAGGGATAGAAATTTAATCAGAGATAGAAATTCATACAAGGAGCAAGTTATGAGGAGAGTGGAGAAATCGTTGTCATTTAGCTTTTTAGTTACTTTCAAATCAAGGTAAATTGTTCATTTGATCTTTAAGAAATATTTAAGTTCTATTGAGGAAATAAATTATGAATAACATTGCTCAAATCTTAATTCTTATGTGCATTTTCATAAATTTTACTTAGTAATAAAGAAAAGCAGTTCAAGAATCCTTTATTTAATTCTTTATGGCTACTAAATTTCCTATAGAACTGACTCTCTGGCTCAATTATTTTGGGAAGAAGAGTAGCCTTTGAAATATCTTTTCATTTGCTTACCCATTAATTACTAAAATTAATATTATTTTCAGCTAAACTTTCTTTAAAAGGGGTTTTGGGGTTTTGGGGTTTTGGGGTTTTGGGG